ACTTGTGTCGCTAAAGTTTCGTCGGAACGAAGTTACGGAAAATTAATTAACAAACGGAGACGTAACAGTTAGATAATGTTAATTTTTGTCATTCGGGATAGAGACGGCTGATTTAGAGCAGCAACATTATATAAGATAAAAGCGCGTGGAGATACTTAATTGTTGGTTAGGCCAAGCTAACTATATTAGCAGTTTCTAACTAAAGTTTTCAAAAGAATCGCACAGGTGGACGGTTATTAATCCTTTATTGCCAACTTTTAAATACAAATTTGCTAAATTTTATGAAATTATCTTAATTAGAGAGTATTTAGCATCACGTAATATTAGCTTAAGCAATTGGTGTAAATAATGACGCTTGATACGTCTGTACCAAGTGCATGCGAGTGATGACAAAAAACTGTTGCCTCATTCTCATATCAATTCTTTTGGTCGCTGTTTGTAAAACAAAACTTTTTTTCTTGGCTGCCCTTTTTTATTATTTTTTACAGCCAAATTGTTATAGGTTTAGATTTCTTGGAAGTATTCACTCGAAGTGAAATAGAATCCTTTTAGCATCTGGTGTTAATGTTTCATTATTAAACTATATTCTGCTTGAGAGAAAAAAAAAAGGTTATGTGTCATATTTGCCATAGAGATGCTAAACAGTCAGACCAGGAAGCCAAAAGTTCAGGCATAGCTTTCCCTAATTTAGAAATCTTCACTGGAAGAAGAAAACAACTCAGCAGCACCCACTAGAAGACTATTAGTTTAATAGGGAAATTATAACACTTTAAACGTTCTCACAACTAAAGAAGACTATTAGTTTAATGGTGAAATTAAGTATAACACTTTAAACGTTCTCACAACTAAAGAAGACTATTAGTTTAATGGTGAAATTAAGTATAACACTTTAAACGTTCTCACAACTAAAGAAGACTATTAGTTTAATGGTGAAATTAAGTATAACACTTTAAACGTTCTCACAACTAAAGAAGACTATTAGTTTAATGGTGAAATTAAGTATAACACTTTAAACGTTCTAACAACAAAAGAATACTATTAGTTTAATGGTGAAATTAAGTATAACACTTTAAACGTTCTCACAACTAAAGAAGACTATTAGTTTAATGGTGAAATTAAGTATAACACTTTAAACGTTCTCACAACTAAAGAAGACTATTAGTTTAATGGTAAAATTAAGTATAACACTTTAAACGTTCTCACAACTAAAGAAGACTATTAGTTTAATGGTGAAATTAAGTATAACACTTTAAACGTTCTCACAACTAAAGAAGACTATTAGTTTAATGGGGAAATTAAGTATAACACTTTAAACGTTCTAACAACTAAAGAATACTATTAGTTTAATGGGGAAATTAAGTATAACACTTTAAACGTTCTCACAACTAAAGGTGTGTTCAGCGGCATATCACGCCTCGACCCTTGGACCTTTCTACCTGCACCCGAAAATCATGTGTCAAAAATTAATACAGGAAGTTATTTTTCTGTTTCTAAATAAATGTAATTTGACTAAAGTGTCTCCAACCTCTCAGAGCTGGATGTCTATTGGGAAAATACATCTTTCGAGCAGATTTTATCACTAGCTTTAAGACAAACTTAACTTGGCAAGACGTTGCAGATAGCATAATACTGTTGCGTCAGCGAGGTCACGTGACTAGTGTCACGCCACCTATTTTTTGAGAAATATCTTGTTCCTTCGTGAATGCCCTAGCATTTACTAGATATATGTTTGTCTGGTGTATAAGACGCTCACAACGTGACGGGACAATGTGTATAGGTAGTGAGTAATTGAACTGCAGTCAG